TACATACTGATATACACCTGAACATCAGCAGGAGAGGACTCTTTAAAGTAGAGACATACATACTGATATACACCTGAACATCAGCAGGAGAGGACTCTTTAACAGCAGGAGAGGACTCTTTAAAGTAGAGACATTACATACTGATATACACCTGAACATCAGCAGGAGAGGACTCTTTAAAGTAGAGGCACTACATACTGATATACACCTGAACATCAGCAGGAGAGGACTCTTTAAAGTAGAGACATTACATACTGATATACACCTGAACATCAGCAGGAGAGGACTCTTTAAAGTAGAGACATTACATACTGATATACACCTGAACATCAGCAGGAGAGGACTCTTTAAAGTAGAGACATTACATACTGATATACACCTGAACATCAGCAGGAGAGGACTCTTTAAAGTAGAGACACTACATACTGATATACACCTGAACATCAGCAGGAGAGGACTCTTTAAAGTAGAGACATTACATACTGATATACACCTCAAAATTAAGTAACATTTTATATTTTTACATTTCTGTTGTGTGCCAAGCATTTTGAGCTGCATCCTGTGTATAAAAAGTTCTTTAAAAATAAAGCTTTATCATTATTTTTACAATTATGTAACTTCTAATGATCTAGTTATATGTTTCTGTTACAGGGGATGTTCTTCATATCTTGGCATATATTGATTGATGTTGTATCTGGGTCAGTCCACCCAGGTTTACTCCGGATTGTGCACACTTTTCTGACGTTGTGTTGAGTGTAATCCGTCACACATCCTTGCCCCCTCTACTCTCTACGCATCGAGTAAACATCAAATAGTGAAGCCACAGTGTTCTGGACAATCCGTTATTAAACAAACACTCACTTTGGCACATAAAAATCACTTTTATTATTTACCCTTTGTGGGCTTTTTGGACAAATAGGTGACTAAGTGATAAACGCTGGTTCACCATTGCTCTGTAGATCTTAGACTTCTAATAAATGCAATAGAAGTTAATAAACCTGTTCAAAATAACAGCTTTTTATAGGGCAAAACAAAAGCTTTTTCCTGACAGTTAAAATGTTTTATTCATTATTTTATTGGGTTTAGTGCTTATTAAAAAAAAATGTGTTCCATTTATATAGCGTGTTTATATCATTCAAATATTTCAATTGCTTCTTTGCAGGATATATTTTAGTAGTAGTTTTTATAGACATATTGTTTTTTTTAGGTTTGTTGTTTTACATTTTACACATTGAATTGGTTGGAAGAAATAGATAAAATAATAGAATAATATTTTCATTAAGAAAAATGTACGGAAAAAAAGCCGAAATAAGTTTATATAAATTAATAAACAATAACAAATAATAAAAGTAAACAAGATTTTGTTTTTATAACTAAATAAAAATATATTTAATTGTACAAAAATATACACACACACATACAGATAAAACACGCATACAAACATTATTTTAATCTACATAATAAAGGTGTTAAATATGTAAATACAATTTTTCCTCAACTTCTCCTCATCTTGTATGCAGTTCTTAATGCATTAGTGCGCCCTCCGCTGGACACTGTACCTAATGCACGTGATCTATGACGTGTACAACGGAACCCACGTGGTCTAGCTTTTCCACACACATGCAGCGGCTTGAAATGACTTCCGGTTACCAGCGTGTCGTTTTTATTCTAGTTTAAAGATAACTTCCTAATTAAAAAGAACCATGGCAGGCAGACCGGAGTTGAAGATAAACTCCGGGTTTGCTCAGAAGTATGACAAATACCGACAGAAAGAGGAGCTGCAGAGACGTGAGTGTTTCTGCTAACAATGCTAACTGACAAGCTAACAACACAACGTGGGGACCAGCAGCAGATTTATGTTGTTATTCTTATACACTGGGTTTTTACAGATATCTAATGTAGTGCAATAATCAATACTGCAGTGTTAACATACTCAGTTACAAGTAAAAGTCATTATTTAAAAGTGTACTCTAAAGTAAAAACTAAAAGCATCAACATATACTGAGTTTACCAAGAATTAAAGTACTTTTATGTCCAATTTCAGACTCATATATATTAATAATTGTATTATTATTAATATGAATAATTGTCAATTAAATGCTGCAACTAGTAAATGTGGTCCACATAATTTTAACTTGTTATTAACCAATGCAAATATTGTTTTATTGAATATCATTTTACACCATGTTTAGCTACTGCAAATATTGTAATAATGACATTTGTACATAATTATTGTTGTTTAACCTATGTATAGTTCTTTAAATTGTGTTTCCAAATATATATAAATGTATTTTTAGTTGATATTTTATCGCATACTTAATTTCTTATTTTATATACATATTTAAATGTATTCTGAAATGAAGCTAATGTCACTAAAACCAAATTTCCCCTTGGGTTAAATAAAGTATTCAGATAAAAATTTAATACTCTGCTGGGTAGGGCAATCTACAACAAGACACTTTATAACTAATATTGTAATCTATTAACTTTTTTAAATGTTGTATTAATTACCTTAATCTCCAAAGTAGTGGAGTAAAGATAAGAATACTTGCCTTTATCATGTAGTGGGGTAAAAGTACAAAGTAGCATCATGTGAGAAACATAATCATGTACCTCACATATTATAATAACTGTATAATAACTCTTGTGCAGTAAAGGACAAATATGGAGACCAAGCGGATGACTCTGAGTCTGAGTCCAGCTCTGATGACAGTGAAGTGGTGAGCCTCTTCTTCTCTTTCTACACAACACACATCTCAATAACTTGTTTATTTTATTGACTGATTTATATATCTGTCTTCCCAGGAGCTGGACCCTGCAGTGGAGCGGGACTTTTACAGAACATTGTCCCTGCTGAAGAAGAAAGACCCCAAAATCTACCAGGAAGACGCCACGTTCTACTCTGAGGGTAAAGTGTATTCTGTGTTGCGTTCAGGGTCTGTAGGACATCTTTATTCTCATGTGTTAATCTCTTAAATCTTTCAGGTCCAGCCATCAGTGATGAGAAGGCTTCCACATCAAAGAAAGCCGTGAAGCCGATGTTCCTGAAGGACTACGAGCGTAAAGTCATACTGGAGAAGGAGGGGTGAGTCACAGACTGATATTTCATTCATAAAAACAGTGTTTGAACGCACCGCCATCACATCTTCAGAGAGATGCCGTATAGAGTGGTGCAGGGATGACCCGGAAGTAAGCTGCTGGTGCACTCGACAAAAAAGCGATGGGATTTCTCCCTAGGATTTTGGAAAATAGCTCGAAATAAGGTCTGTGGAAAACGAAGCTGTTAGATAAATGCACGTTTTGTTCAGCCGGATAATCTCCACATGTCTCCTACTTTTACTTTTATGCTATAAAACAACTACAGCCGAGTCCAGCAGCACGACTTCAACGTCACGCCAACTTAAGATCCATATTCAAACATACAGATTCTAAATGGTTCAAGTTGAAGCGTTTGTTTGAACAGTCTGCAGGAGGCAGGAACTTGCTTTCAAGCAGAACAGAAACTAACTTAGAGGAGTGTTTACGTGTTCGGCGTAATGACGTACAACGGCCTCCACGACTTCTGTAGTCCTATTCAGCCACTTGGTAACAACCATCGTTTTTCAGACACGTCAACTCTTCAGAAATCACCAGTGGGGTCACTGCTGATGGATTTAATGTCGTAGAACAAAATGTGAACCGTCTCTTAAAT